TATATATTAATTGCTTTTTCAGCCCTTTTTCGCCTGTGTCCCAACTTTTTTGAGACCTGTTGCTGCCAGAAAATTTGAAATAAGCTCATTTTGTTGATTAAAATGTAAAAAGTCTCAGCTTCAACATTTGAAATGTTATCTAAGGTCTATTGTAAATAACATATTGGCTCATGTGATCTGAAAGTCATTGCATTTTTATTTTATTCACAATTTACACTTCGTCCCAACTATTTCGGAATTGGGGTTGTACATCTGTTGCTGCTGTCTCTCTCAAATTCACATTCACAAAATCAATAACTGCTACCCTTACTCTAGCTCTTTGTCTATTCAAATGTATAACTTGCTTTTGATATGTTTTCCTCACTCAAGACCCCCCCCCCCTCCCACTCCCACTACCTCACACACTCTCGCTCACTCCCACTTCCTCACTCACACTCTCACACTCACTCAAACTCTCACTCTTTCACATTCTCACTCTCACACTTTCCCACTCTCCCCACCCACTTTGTAAATAATTTATCAGCTCCAGCTCATTACTAAACTTGCACTTCATATAATTACGTGAGCTTTGCCCCATTTAGCACTCTTTTCTTGGGCCCACATTCTCATACAGCACTTGGCGGCCCAGCCAACATTCGGTTGCACCTAGTCTTGTTTTTCAGTAAGCTGCTGTCGGAAAGCTGTCAACTCGATAACGATGTTCACGTAGTCAGGGCCTCCCTGCTATGGAACTTTGATGGAAGTTGATGGGGACGGCATTCATTTTTACGTAACACAGATTTATTGTATTCACTTTCATTATAAGCTATGTTTAAAAAAAGAACTAATGCCTACTCACACTGAATGGATAACTGCACAAGAGTAAATGCTCTACCCATTCACAAGTGCAGCACAAGTATATAACAGCGCCTAAGTTACAGTCGACAACAGGATTGAATGCACAGTCCTCCAGATGCCCAGTTGTAACATTGACAAAAGCAGCCACTGAAAAATTTCTCAGACTTAAATCTTCACATTTAGGAGATAAAAAAAGTGGGGCAATTCCTAAATCATCAACTCACAACATATTTCCCCTTCAATCTGCTTTGTTCTTCAGCTTTCTCAGCAAAACGCTTCCTGGAAAATGTCAGAGGATGAAAGATTCTGTCAGAACAGTGTCCAGGCCATAGTATTTGTTTGAGGTTTCAATAGTTTGGGCGCATGGATTCAGTCATACAGTAACCTGTGCGCGCGCAATTTTAGTAGTCTTTGTGTAAAGTTTCAGAAGTGTGTGGGCTTGTTTTTGTTTGTGAGAGGTTACTGTAGCATGTGTGCTAGGCTTTAATCATGTTTGTGTTAGCGTTCAGTTGAATTTGTTCATGGTTTCTGTAGTATATGGGCAAGAGGTTTTCAGATGTGCTTACGTGGCTTCAGTAGTTAGCGTGCAAGATTTCTCTGGTGTGTGTGTGCGTGTGTGTGTGTGTGTATGTATGTGACGGCATGAATTTAATTTCAGGACATTATTGCGGGAAATCAAATACAATTTATGCAGCTCAGAAATGAAAGCAATCAAAGTCATGTTTGTCAAGATTTATGAGTGTCACCGAAAAAATAAAAGTTTGCGCCACCTCATTCCAAATTAGAAAAATAATGAGCAGGCTGCAGGGCAGAGGTTGGGAAATATATGAACCCTTCTGCATTTATTAAAGATCAGATGGTGGGAGGGCCAGAGTGTGATTACAATCAATTTTACACAAGGGAGAAAATGTTCATACGCTTGACAAGAGTATTTTTTAATCTAATGAAATTTCTAATGAAATTGCTGTAATAGCATTAATTATATTAGCCAAGGATAAACAACTTCTAATTTTACGTGAGTTCATTCAAACAATTAAAGCCTTTACACTGCTGTATATTTTCTGTGCTGCTGTAGTGCAATTTACAAGCAACTTGCCAGACTTCCTTCATGAATAATATTTTGAAGCACTTATATCACATTGTCACATTATTATCTAGTATAAATTGCCTTATTTACAGCTGTAATTCTCAATAGAAAACTAGTAAGCTTTTTCAAATTTAGCCCATGAATGGTGGACCACACTTGGTGTTTTATGGATGATGTGGGCAGGCGACACGCACTCATATGTAAATTTGTTAGATTCAATGTTTCAGTAAACGCATTGTTATTGCACAGAAAAGTGAAATCCGTGTGGAAATAGTTTGGTGCAGTAAAACATTTTGCTGCAAACAATGACCTTGAAAATGAGGTACATAAGCTGATGTGTTCCATTTTCTTAATATGAAACAGTATTATGGCTAGAATTTTTAATTCAAACTCCTAAAGAGATTTAGCATATTCTTGTCCAGAGCAACTTATTGCAACTATGCAATTATGGACTACCATATTTATTGAACACCTTTTTACTAACACTGTTTAAGACCGGATCAGAAAATCTGAACTTGGGTGAGGTTAATACTCACGACTTAGGGAGTTCCATCCCACAGCTCCTTCAACTGAGCTACAGAGTCCAGTTGAAATTAGTTTGCAAGTGTGATCTCAAAATGTCAATTTACCACTGAAGAAGACTGATTTGGAAATTATATTGTGTGTGTCTTCAATTTGATCTTCCACATGTTCATTGTGACGGGGTGTCATGTGCATTGTGGTCTTGAGATCAATCTTGCGAACCATTCCCAACTCTTAAGTGTTATGGAAAAACCTAGTAAGTAACAAAAAGCTGATTCCGAGAAAAAGACAGAAAACTGTATCCCTCTGGGGTTAAGCTCTTGTCCGACAATGAAACTGACATGGTAGCTATTTGTTCATTACATAATAAGAGATATTTAAGGAGGTTTTTTTTTTTTTTTTTTTATTAGTATCCCTGGCAATATGACTTTTTTTTCCCATCTGAAAATATAAAATGTCAAATCTCAAAATGATGGACAAAAACCTAATGATTATGCAGCTGCAGTGGCATTTGATAGTTTTTCAGTGTTAACTCCACCATCTGCTTCCCTCTTTAAGCCATTTTTTCAGTCGTTATTAGCACACGAATTGCATGAATTATGAATTCTGACCATGAATGTCCTGCACATCCAATGCTCTGCATGGGGATTTACCTCATAGATCAGATAGGTATGCTGCTTCATAACTGGCTAATTCACTAACCAGGATTTATCATTAAAAAATACAAAATTTTATGTGGAGGAACCAAGGAAGATCAACTTGCTTGATTTTTACAACCCCGATTCTGAAATAGTTGAGACGAAGTGTAAATTGTGAATAAAATCAAAATGCAATGACTTTCAGATCACATGAGCCAATATGTTATTTACAATAGAACATAAATAACATTTCAAATGTTGAAATTGAGACATTTTACATTTTAATCCACAAAATGAGCTCATTTCAAATTTTCTGGCAGCAACAGGTCTCAAAAAAGTTGGGACACAGGCAAAAAAGGGCTGAAAAAGCAATTAATATTTAAGAAAATCAGCTAAAAGAACATTTAGCAAGTAACTAAGTTAACTGGCATCAGGTGTGTAACATGATTGGCTATAAAAGGGATGTCTTAGAGAGGCCGAGTCTCTCAGAAGTAAAGATGGCCAGAGGCTCTCCAACCTGTGAAGGCTTTGCGTAAAAAATTGTGGAATACTTTAAAAGCAATGTTCCTCAACGTTAAATTGCAAAGGCTTTGAAGGTCTCATCATTGACAGTGCATTATATCATCAAAAGATTCAGAGAAACTGGAAAAATCTCTGTGCGTAAGGGACAAGACCGAAGACCTTCACTGGATGCCCGATCTTCGGGCCCTCAGACGCCACTGCATCACTCACCAGCATGATTCTGTCATTGACATTACTAAATGGGCCGAGGAATACTTCAAGAAACCACTGTCTGTAAACACAGTCTGCCGTGCCATCCACACATGCCACCTAAAACTCTGTCATGTAAAAAGGAAGCCATTGCTGAGCATGATCCAGAAGCGCCGCCATGTTCTGTGGGCCCAGGCTCATTTAAAATGGACTGTAGCAAAGTGGCAAAGTGTCCTGTGGTCAGACGAGTCCAAATTTGACATTCTTGTTGGAAATCATGGGCGTTGTGTCCTCCGGGCTAAAGAGGAGAAAGACCACCCCTCCTGTTATCAGCGTTCAGTTCAAAAGCCAGCATCTCTGATGGTATGGGGATGCATTAGTGCATATGGTGTGGGACACTTGCATGTTTTAAAAAGCACCATGAAAGCTGAAAGATATATAAAGGTTTTAGAGCCCCTCCAGATGACATCTATTCCAAGGAAGGCCTTGTGTATTTCAGCAGGACAATGCAAAACCACATACTGCAGCTATTACAACAGCATGGCTTCGTAGTAGAAGAGTCTGTGTGCTGAACTGGCCTGCCTGCAGTCCTGTTCTTTCATCGATTGAGAACATTTAGTGCATAATTAAACGAACCGTCCGTCAAAGGAGACCCAAAACTCTCCAGCAGCTGGAAGCCTGTATTAAACAAGAGTGGGATCAAATTCCAATGGCTAAACTCAAGAAACTTGTCTCCTCAATGCCCATAGGCCTCCACTCTGTGTTAAAAAGAAGAGGGGATGCTACACCACGGTAAACAGGCCCCTGTCCCAACTGTTTTGAGACCTGTAACAGCCATCAAATTTGAAATGAGCCCATTTTGTGGATAAAATTGTAAAATTTCTCAGTTTCAACGTTTGCTATGTTATCTCTGTTCTATTGTGAATAAAATACTGGGTGGTGTGATTTGAAAGTCATTTCGTTTTGATTTTATTCACAATTTACACTTTGTCTCAACTATTTCGGAATTGGGGTTGTACTTCACAACTGATTAAATACCGATGACTTGCTTGGTTTTGCCACAGGAAATCATAGGAGATCAATGATTATTTTTCACGTATCTTACTGTATATGATGAGGCAAAGCCTAATAAGTACTAAAATGGTCCTAACTTAGTTTCGACCAAAATTAGACTTGCTAGGTTTTTCTATAACACTCAAGAACCGGACTTGGGGGCTCAGTTGGTAGAGCGGTGGGATGGAATCCCTAAATTGCGAGTTTAATCCTCACCTGAGATCAGATATTCTGACCCACTCTTGAACAGAATCAGTGTAAAGAGTCAATTTATCCCTGGGGATGACTTCAATACTTTCCTAAGGCACCCTGGTAAATCAACAGTCACAATCACAGATGTCCTAACTGGGAATCTTACTTGGGACATTAAGTGACAAGACCTATTCACCAACGGCCTGCTGACATCAACTCATGGACAGCTGCACATACACAACATAATTTTGTTTAAAAAATAATCTCAATAATCACAATTTAAAATAGCATTCTATTTCAGAGGGATCAATTGTTTCATGTTGTGTTAAAGTTGACACATAACACTAAAGTTATGTGAAACAGGAGATGTTAAACAAGTGTGCTTACTGCGTTACAGGATTAGAGGGCCTCCAAAAAAATTTAAGCGTTTCAAGAGGAAAGATGGGTTGAGGCTCACCAATTTGCCAAAAGATGCATAAGCTTATAATCCATCACTTTGAAGACAACATTCCCCAGAGAAAAATCAGTAGGATTTGGGGTATTTCACCCCCTTCAATGCAAAATACTGTATGATTAAAATATGGAAGGAATCTGGTCAGATCGTGGCATGTAAACAGGAAAGCCCAAAAACTACTTCTGAACGCACATGATCCCCAATGCCTCAGACCTCTCTATCTAAAGAAGTGTCATGTGACTGTAAAGGAAATAATGACATGAACTTGGAAATATTTTGGTAAACATTTGGCAGTCAACACCATTTGCCATTGCATGAAGAAATGCAAGTTAAAGCTTCTCTATGCAAAGCGAAATTCATACATCAACACTGTCCAAAAGCGCTGACAACTTCTGTGGGCATGGTGTTGCCTGAGATTGTCACAATTGCCGGATGCCGCCTGATCACAATAGCTCACAGCCAATTGGCCGATGAGCTATTGTGATCAGGCGGCATCCGGCAATTGTGATATTGATTGTCATCCGTTAGCAAAATCTTTAAAAATCTTCATCTCTAAAAATACTGGCCCGATTTACCTCAAATTTGCTGCGGATTTGCTTCCTTGAGACAGTTTTGAAAAAAAAAATTTTTGTTTTTTGATTTTTAACAAATTTTTTTCTAATTAAATTTTCCCCATTTACTTATAATGGGAAAATCTTTTGCAATCATCTCCCATGAAACCGGTGGCCAGATTCACTTCATATATTTAAGTACCCTGTATTCATACACTATTGAATCTCTGGAAAGCTTCTCTCAGAAATGCTGAACAAGTGGCTCAGTTATTGGGCGGGTGAGCTACAGGGCCATTGGTCCTATTAATTCTTTCATCCAACTAGTCAGCATTTCAGGTAGTTTGAGCAAAGAAGACAGACAATCAGCATCAGGTTTAAATGGCAGCATCAGTCTGGTATAGGGGAGTGACCCAATACATGGATTAGGTGACTTCCGCATTCCCAAGGACACACTTAATGCAGAAAGGTATGAGCAAATTTTGAAGCTAGAAATGCTGCGATACAGGCACTATCTGTTCCAGGATGGTCTCTGCATTTTTGTGATGGCTGGTGGAATTAGGAGGCCAAGCGTAATGACCAGAGAGAAAGTGAGCAACACGGACACAGTACAAACACAGAGAATAATATAGACCAAACGAAAGTACTCGCACTTCCAAAGGATGAATAATAGTCTGAAACACGGAAGCAAAGCGAGATAGAAAAAGGGAGAAGAAACTCCAATAATCAGAAGATAGAAAGTCAAACAAAACCTGACTACAGATATCTTTGGCTATAGTGCGAAGCTAAATCAGACACTCTAGCGAAGGAGGCGTACCGGACTTCCTGCTTATATAAAGTCCGGGAAGGCGCCGCCTCAGCTCAATCAGCCAGCTGGGTAAAGAATCCGATAGCCAAGGAATTCGATATCGTCCCAGGATGAGAGCCGCAAAGAAAAGTCCAAACCACACGCACACTTCACAAACCATGACAGAACACCCCCCTCTAAGGAACGGCTCCAGAAGTTCCCAGAGAGCCCCGCGCATGGAACTCTGAGATAAGGGTGGGATCCAAGATATCCCGAGAAGGAACCCAGCACCACTCCTCAGGACCATAATCCTCCCAGTCGACTAAAAACTGAGCCCCATGACCCACACGCCTCTTGGCTAAAGTACGACGCACAGTGTAAACAGGCCCCCCTTCAATCATCTGCGGCGGCGGCGGGGGTTTGTCGACCAGAGCCAGGATGCAAGTGCTAACAGGTTTGAGCCTGGAGACATGAAAGAGGGTGGATCCGTAAGGATCTAGGGAGCTTCAACCAGACTGTGACTGGATTGATCCTTCACACAATCTTAAAAGGACCAATGAAGCGGGGAGCCAACTTCCGTGACTCCACTCTAAAGGGTAGGTCCTGCGTGGAAAGCCAGACCCTTTGGCCAACCCGATAAGATGGGGCTGAACGGCGCCTTCTATCTGCGGCGGTCTTTTGTTTCCGTCCAGAGCGCAACAAGAAGGAACGGACCCTGGCCCAAACTGACCGACAACGCCGAACAAAGTGATTGACCAAAGGAACCTCTGAATCCCTGTCAGTCTCAAGAAACAGTGGAGGCTGACAGCCCAACTGAGCCTCAAACAGGGAAAGGCCTGTGGAGGAGTTACGCAGTGAATTGTGGGAATATTCGGCCCATGCTAAAAATCGACTCCACGAAGATGGGTTGTCAGCCGCTAAACATCGAAGAGTATTCTCCAACGACTGGTTGGTTCGCTCTGTCTGCCCGTTAGTCTCTGGGTGGAAACCAGAGGAAAGACTCATGGTGGCCCCCAACTGGTTGCAAAACGCATGCCAGAATTTGGCCGTAAATTGAGGGCCCCAGTCAGAAACCACACCTTGAGGGAGACCATGCAGCCGGAAAATTGGTCCACAACAAGAAGGGCCGTCTCCCGCGCCGAAGGCAGCTTGATCAGCGCGATAAAGTGGGCTGCCTTAGAAAAACAATCGACCACGACCAAGATGATCGTGTTGCCTTCAGAAACAGGCAGCCCCGTAACAAAATCAAGAGCGATATGGCTCCACGGGTGCTTAGGGACGGGCAACGGCTGCAGCAGACCAGAGGGGGGGAGATGGCGCAGATACAGCACGTCGCTACAAACTCCCGGATGTCCTCAATCATGCTGGGCCACCAAAAACGTCGGGCTAAGAACTGCTTGGTCCGATGAACCCCCGAGTGACCTGCCAGACGGGAAGAGTGCCCCCACTGGAGAACTTGGGACCGTACTGCCAACGAAACAAACAAACAGCCAGGCGGCTCCCCACCAGGACCAGGATCAGTTCTCAACGCCTCCCGCACAACAGACTCAACGTCCCACTGAATGGGAGCCACAATCTGAGCTGCCGGGATAACCGGCTAAGGAATGGGGTCGCGACCAGAGCGGTCTTAAATCCGCGACAAAGCGTCGGGCTTGATGTTTTTTGAACCCGGGCGATAGATTAACGTAAAGTTAAAGCGGTTGAAAAACAACGACCACTGCGCCTGCCGAGAATTATGTCGTTTTGTCTGTTGGATGTATTGGAGATTTTTATGATCTGTCCAAACCATAAATGGATGTTCAGCCCCCTCCAACCAATGGCGCCACTCTTCTAACACCAACTTGACAGCCAACAACTCCCGGTGCCCAATGCTGTAATTCCGTTCGGCCGCCGACAATGACTGGGAGAAGTAGGCACATGGGTGCAACTTATTGTCCCAAAGGGGGTGCTGGGACAAAATGGTACCCACCCCGACTTCCGACGTATCCACCTCCACAACAAATGGGAGGAAGGGGTCGGGCAAAATGAGAATGGGCTCTGAGCTAAATCGTTTCTTAAACTCCTGAAAAGCAGCTTCAGCTGCTGGAGACCAAGCAAACGACAAGGAGGTATTTTTCTTAGTGAGCGCGATAATGGGGGCAGCTACCGGTAAAAAAATTACGGATAAAACCTCCTATAAAAATTAGCAAACCCTAAGAACCATTGCACCTCCTTGACGTTTTGAGGGACAGGCCAATCCCTGACCGCTGCCACCTTGTCAGGATCCATGCGGACCGACCCCTCCGAAACAATGAAGCCAAGAAACAAAACTGTCTTAGCATAAAAAACGCATCTTTCAGCCTTGACAAAAAGCTTGGCTTTAAGGAGGGCCTCAAGCACTTGTCTGACGTATTGTTTATGCTCCGAGAGAGTTGAAGAAAAAATCAGAATATCATCAAGGTAGACAAAGACCAATCTCTCCAACATCTCTCGGAGGACGTCATTGACAATGCCTGGAACATAGAAGGGGCGTTAACCAATCCGAACGGCATGACCAAATATTCATAGGACCCGTCATGCGTATTAAATGCCATTTTCCACTCGTCCCCCAACCGGATCCGAACCAAGTTATAAGCAGAACCAAGTTCCGGACTTCTAGCTTAGTAAAAAATGACGCCTCCTGCAGACGTTCAAATGCGGAATTAATCAACGGAAGGGGGTATCGGTTTTTAATGGTGATATTTAAGCTCCTGTAATCAATAGAGGGTCTCAGGCCGCCATCTTTTTTGCCTACAAAAAAGAACCCCGCTCCGGCAAGAGACATGGAGGGCCGAATAAATCCATTAGCCAGAGCCTCCTGAATATATTCTCGCATGGCCCTTCGCTCAGGCCCTGAAAGCAAGTATAATGAACCCCTAAGGAAAGTGGTATCCGGGTAGAGATTGATCTCGCAATTGTATGTGCGATGAGGAGGTAAAGTCGAGGCCCGTTGCTTGCTAAAAACCTCCGCGAGATCAGCATAATTGTTAGGAACATTAGGAGGCAGACAAAAGTTCAGAGCAGCCCCCAAATTCTCACCCTGTTCGGAACCTGCCATCTCTATGTCTGATTCCGAGTCCGAGAAATCCTCTGAATAGCAATCCTCCTCTGGCTGCCGCCAGTCAAATTGAGGATCCCACTCTAACCCCTCCTCTGCCCCTTTCTCTAGATTAGGAGGGTTGTGTGAGACAAACTCCTCAGAATCACTCCAGGCGTCAGCCTCCCC